GAACCCCCCCAGCTCCCCCAGCCTGTCCTCGCAGCAGAGCTGCTCCAGCCCCTGGATCTTCTTTGTGGCCTCCTCTGGACTCCTTCCAACAGATCCACGTCCCTCTTATGGTGGGGACACCAGAACTGTCCTGGCAGAGACAGCCTTAAATCTTTGTGCTGCGCAAATGCGGTGAGGCCTGGATGAGTGATACTGTCCAGGCAGCGCAAAGCTCATTGCAGTGAAGCTACACCCCAATCAAAATCCTTCAGCACCTTAAATTCACCGATTCTGGGAGGAACAGGGCTGTAAAGGGAGAGCAGACTTGGTCTTAAAGACCGCGTGGAGGCCAGGACACATCACTGCTTCATTTGACACGTGCCCCAAGTCAGCATTTTGGTTTTATTTACAGCACTTCAGCGCTAAAGCTGTAGGAATTAATGCTGCCTGCCTACAGGCACACTCCCTTCTCGCCCCTCACCACTCAGGAACTGCAAACTCCCAGTGATGGCAGCCAACTTCAGCTGTCTTTTGAGAATCTTAAATAGAACTGAGTTGAAAAAAGGCACTGAGTATCCGGCGTCCGGGCTTCACAGCATCGCTCTTCACCACTTGATGTTAAACCCGGCGCTTGTTTTCTCCACCGCATGGTACTCGGTGTGCAAAGCTTTTGCAGCTTTTTCCGAGGCGGCGCCGCCCAGCCACCGCTCGTACAGCTCCTCCACTGTCCTGTTCTGCTCTGGAATTTCAGTCTTTAGGGACTCGTACAACTTCTCGACCTGCTGAAGCTGCTCCTTGCCCGATTCACCGTCTGGTTTGAGCTGACCGCCTCCGTTTAAACAGCCTACGAGAAAACGTCACTGAGGTTAGAAAGCACTTCAGCCTCATCGGGAGGAGGGCAAAAAACCCAGCTGGTTAATTTACTCTTCAGCTGCAAACAATTACAGAAATTAAAGCACTATTATAATTGTGGTTTACTCCCCAGTTATCTAATAGCAGCAGAGTGAGATGGTTGGCCTGGTGTGCCCCAGGGCTAACGGGCTATGGAAGGAGGCGGGGATGAGCCACAGAGACCAAGGTAAGAAGCAGCTTGGAGCTCTGGCTCTCATCTCGTGCCTCCAGAGAAGGGCCAGCACATAATCCAGGTGAGGAGAGCCTCGGAAGCTCAGCTGAAGGGATGATGAAGGTGCTGGGGGTATGTTCTGGGCTCGCTGTCAGGGTGCAGAGCTGAGTTATGCAGCGTGTGGTGCCTGGGCTGGGAGCTGTGCCGGCCCTCGGGGAGAGAGTGGCACCTCAGCATCGCTCCGGGCTGCGGCCGAGCTGCCCGTGCTCTCTGCTGGCGTGTCCCAAGGGACACGTGTCCTCCCGCTTGGAGGGAGAAAAAGGAGGGCTTGCACCAAGTAGAAAAGGGAACACAATAAGTTGGAAGAGACTTTTTTCCCCCGGCCATAGGAAGCATTCTCTAAAAGCGTAATGGTCAGTTTTGTGGAATTTTAGAGGAAGAATCTCGGGTGCCAAAGAGCTCACAATACCAGGAGGACTTCTTTAAAAGCACTAATTACGCTAATTTTGTGCAACGGTGCTCAACCGTAATTGCTTAAATCCTGAAGGACTGGCTTCAAGGTAGGGCGATACACACACAAGCTTTGAAATTCTGATGCCGCAGCTATTGCGACTCGAGTTTGAGGGCTTTGCCACAATATTGGGGCTGTGAGAAATCGCCTGTTGCTGTTATATTTTGGGTGTAGTTTCCTACAGCTTCTTACAGCTCTGGGTTGCAGCAGGGAAGTCTCTGTGCAGCCTTACCTGAGGGGCAGGCCATGACCTCAACGTAGTGATAGGGCGATTTCCCTCGTTTCAGCTTCTGCACCAAGTTCTGGATGTTCCGAAACCCGTAGGCCAGAGCAAACTGGAGCAGGACTACTCCATCCTTCTCCAGCGTGACCTCCTGGAAGTCCTTGTTTCTGAGGAAGGAGAGCAGACAAAAAAAAAAAACAACTAAGTTGCTTCCAAATGAGCTTCTATTTTAAACTTCAAAGAGCCCTGTGCTAAAAATGAAGTTCTCTGTAAAATCTCAGTCAAGAAGGCTGTCCCAGTTCTTCGCCGCCCTGACAAAGCAGAGGGAGGAACCGGCTTGAGGATCCTTTTCCAAACGTGCGTGAGGACCTGCTGCCCACGCTGAGTTTGCTGAAGAACACCTGTATCGAATAAATCCTTAAGAGCCGAGCAAATGGAGCCTGGACTGAAGTTTCATTGTGCTGGCCCTTTGGAGTTGGTTTCAGCCAACGTAGACGTCAGTGAGGCCGCTGAGGAAACCTTTAAATTGCAGCGGGTCGTAAAACCAGGGAGCAAACTGTTACTGAAAGCTTCCAGACTCCTAAGGCTAGTGGAAATACCTGTTCCTCATAAAAGAATAAGTAACTTGACTTTTATTAATTTTTTCATGCTCTTTCTTCCAGTTCCTAGACCAGGGCATCCTAAACATAAATACTGCTAATTGGGGATATAATTACTTACAAAATGGTACGTTAATATCATCATTGGGAAGGCGGCAAGAATTTTGGCTGCCCAAAACTCAAGCGACTTGTTTTCTTTCTTACCACAGCACAGCTAAAACAGCGGCTCGATGCAGATCTTCTGTTCAACAAGGTTAGGAACAAATCTAACGGTCTGACTGCAGGTGAGGAAGCCCAGATCCACATGAGCGCTGTCTTTTAAATTACTCTAAAAATTGTCCGCAACTGGATATGGGAAAAAAATCCCTCAGGCCAGGCAAAAGTGCGTGGGTGGTGAAGGGGCTGGGAGTCTCGGAGGGAAAGGCGTGAGGAGCGCTGGCTGATTTATCGCTCGGCAGCTGTGGGAGTGAGAAACCAATTCCCATGGACTGAAGTAAAATGCTTCACGTTCAGCTCATCAGCTGGACAACCGTGTGAACAGAACTGCAGTAAAAAAAAATTAAAAAATCACGTTTTCTCTATGACTTTGAACTTCTTACTTTAAAGGTTTGTACTGAATTGTATCCACTTGAATTCCAAAGAGCTCCTGGGCCGCGTGCTTGTACACATGCTCCAAATAGCCGCCAGAGCCACCTCCGGCGTGGCCGGTGAGCTCTTCTGCAGCGCTACGGAACCTGGCGGAAAGGAAGAAAGAAACGTTTTTAGGGGCATCTCTTTGATAAAACAGAACAGCTGGCGCAAACACAAAGGTCCAAGGGGACTCGAAAGCAACGAGACCCAGCACAGGCTTGGTTGAGCTCCTCTGAGCTTTTCCTTTTCTCCTGGGAATGGACCATTTCGAGCTCCAGACCCCGGCAGGTTTAATCTCGTGCTGCTGAGCACCTTCTGGGTCAAGCTCGGTGGCAATACCAACACTTGCCACAACGAGGCCCGACTCACACGCTGCCAACTTCATCTCCTACCACCAAAAACGCCTTTGGGAAGGTCTGAGTTACGAGGGCAACTACTCGACACGTGTATTTTGTCAGCTCCCTGTTTAACACCTCTACAAACACCCCGGGTTACGCTTCGAAGCGGAAGGAGGCAAATATTGAAGTGATGGTGGGATGGGCCTGTGCGATCCAGGCTTCTCTTGGAGAGCACAACCCAGCAGAACTCTCCTCTCAGTGAGGAGCCATCTCGTCAGCGCTGACGCTTTTCTGCAGCATCGACAGAAGCAGAGTTCATCAGAGAGTTGCACGTTCCAATGTGGGCTTTTTTTCTGTGTGTTTTTTTGAAATCAGTTGCTTTAGATGTGGTTGCTGGGATGTGAGGGAATGCTTTGGGGAGACATCAGCACTCCAATCTAAGCACGGAGAGGTGAAATCCGTGTCGCTGTGGTTTCACGTATTTAAGAGAAGCGGACAACCCTATCGGTGCTGGGACGTTTGCTCTGGACGTGGCTGCCCTCAGCAGGGTCCTGCTTCGAGTCCACCCCATTCTGGGTGTTGAACAGCTACGCTAACGTAAGCTCTGTAAATCTAGTTCTGCACAAACGATTCCATCGTGCTGACCCACCGAAACGCAACCAGCTCTTCGGAGGTCAAGATAACGCTTCTTGAGAAGAGCTTGCCAGATGGAAGCCGCAACAATAGCCTTTGTTAAGGGAGAACAACAAGATGAGGGAGCTGCTTCCAAGCACCCGCAAGGCGGTGACACTCGCGTTCTCCTCCGACCAGCTGCAGAAGGGAAAACGCTTGAATTCGAGCCAAACGGTTTCAAGTCAATTCGAAGATGTTGCCTCTCGCAGATAAAAATCTTCACTCTGGAAGAACTGCAGAAGGCAACACTTGAGCCTCAGAAACTATTTTTAATTCCATCTTGTTTACAGGAACTCGGCTTCATTACCAAAATGTTTCAGTGTGTCTGGCCTCACGTACCACCGCTCTCTTAGAACGAGGCTGCCAGCGAGCTTTGGAGCAAACGGTCGTACCAACAAAGGTCCCGGGACTTCTGGCACTTTATCTCAGTTCTTGCTGCCAAATGTAATAAGCTCTTAATGGGCTTTTCCACGTGCTGGAGGACAAAGCTGAACATCAGCCACCGGGCTGCTTCTGTGACTGCTCCAAGTTCGGAGGGATACGTGCTGTTTGGGACCAGTCAATTTAGTGAGTATGTTAAAGCCAGTGAAAGGTCACGGAGGCGCTTTATCACCACGAGCATGAGGCCCGGGGCCCAGAATGTACTCCTGCGAAGTTGGCCAGAGGTTTTTATGGAGTAAATAGATGTTCAGTTCCATCTTATAACTGACACTTCCAGAATGTCAGCTCCTAAGGGAACCCGAACACTTTGGAATTTATTTTTTCCCCTCTCCTCTGTTCTCCATTAGCGGTACGACAATAAAGCAGGTAGAACAAAAGTACTTCTGAAGTCGTACTTCTGGGACTTGACCATGCAGGCATTTATTCTAGCTGAGGACACTTGTCTTTTTTTGTTTTGTTTTGTTTGCTGTGAGGCAGCCTTGTGCGTAGGCTCCGTCAAAACCACCCCCATTTCATCTTGGAAAAAGGGTGCGGTAGTGCAGATAGATCTGCGTTACTAAAGGTGAAACCTGCACCTGCTGATCCACTGAAATGTCACAGAGGGAAACTGAGGCTCTGGGCATGCACACTATTTTTAAATGTCTTTTTTTTAAACTAAGCATTCTTACAAGAAAGAGATTAGATGGCACCAGACTGCCTCTACCTCACATTCTCCTTCTTTTCAGAAGCACAGGAGCGACCGGTGTTTCTAACAATTCAGACTATCTAGCACAGCGAGTCTCAGGTAACGACACTTTGCAGCTCTGTCAACACGCACGGGCTGATCAGACAGTTCTGGAGCCAAGGCTGCTGGGGGCACGTGGTTGCACTAAAAAGGCTTGAAGCCTATTAAGAAACAACCCAAACTTCAAAGCAAGAGCGTCATCTCCGGCGCAAATCTCTCCTAAAGGCTTCGCGGTAAATTCTGGAATCGTACGCTTCATCAGCTTGTCCGGTCCTTAAAGGTCGCCACACGTGTAGCCTTCCTGCAAAGTGCTGCAAAGACTTTTGTTTTAAACTAAAGAGAAGGCTTTGGTTTAGTGTTCAGTGTGGAACCACCGCTGCCTGTTGATTTAGACGAGTAAAATGTGATTTTGATGTTTCCATAGTCACTTAGATCTCGGCGCAGTTGTCGCTTAACTAGATGTTACTCTTCAGCTGAAGCAACCAAAATCTCATCCGGTTTGCACGTGTTCCGGATCTCATTTTTTAGCAAATAAATACTCCTAGAAATTAGGTGAGCAACCTAAATATTTCTTATTTATGCTTTAATTCTGGAATCCTTACAGTAGCTCTGATAACTGGGAACAGAGACAAGTGAACTGAGCACGGTGCAGGAACAGCCTTTGTTTAGCAAACGCTTTTATCACTGATCGAGGTTCTTCCACTTTTCAAAGTCTGCAGGTAGATTTTTTTTTTTTTTTTTTTGGTGGGTTCCCACCAGTTATGCTGTGACAGGAATTGAAGTAAAGGACTGCCAGGCAATTTGTACTTCTCCACACGACTATTTTGCTGTTTTACTGAGCTAACTATAGCACTCCTGCTGATTCACAGCGGGAGTTACTAATTCTTGGACTACTAAATCTAGAATAAAGAGTTACAGACTTTCCAAAAGTGGAAATTCATCATGTTCTGTACATCAAGTATTTTATTGCACAAGTGTACTGATTTGAACGAAGCAAGAAAGCAAATCAAATGCAAAGACAAGCAGCCTTGTGCAGAACAGTGGCGGAAAGGAAAATGTTGTTGAAGAACTCTATAAATATCGGATGAAAATAAACAGGATGGAAGATGCAAATGAGATTTTTGTTCTTACATGGTATCCAACGGAGCAGGATCTACATCTGAGAGAGATACTCCTTCTTGTTCCAACAACTTCAGCACTTCTCCTAAAACAGAATCACAGTTGTAACAAGTTCTTATTTGGCGATAAGGGAAAACAAAAACCCGCAGACCAGCACATAAGACTGCACCTGCAATTTTTACCAGGACTGACACGTAATTATCCAGCAACGTCCATCCTCTACTGGAGACACGGCGTTATTAAAACTAGCCAACACCTTGCTTCGAGGCTTCTAGAAATTACCTCAACTACAGGAGGCTCTGCTCACCTGTGGTGATCACACAGTCCACGTCACGAGTCTGGTACTCTTGGTTGAAAAAGTCTGGCCTTGAAGCCTCCAGCTTTTTGTCGTAACAGGGCATCACTGTGACGTGGTAGATCTGGTCGGGTGTCAGGTGCTGGAAGAAAGAAGCAGCCACGCTGTAGGATCGGCCAACATCAAACTTACCTTGAGGGAGGTGTTTTCCAGGTATAAACAAGAATGACGAATCTAATGCCACCACGCCTCCAGAAATATTTTCGTTCGCTACTGAGCATTTCTTTTTTTTATACACACACACCTAATTACATATAAATTCAATTATTTCTCTCACAGGACCTAATTTTAGTTTGCAGTGGAACGGTCTCATACAGGTTTCCCCCCATCTCCTTTTGCTAACCCAGGCAAAGCCAGTGAGCAAATTCCTCATCACGCAACCAGAGCAGATCCTTCCTCCGCGCTCCTAAACCCCAGCCCCTGCAGCAGCAACGAAGAAATCATCTGGAGTCAGACAAAAACCTCGTGACCATCCAAGAAATCAGCAAAGGCCGCGGAAACAAGTCATTGACTCGAGGCCGTTGTTCCAGTATCTGGTGCCAAGCGTTCCACGCAGCTGCCAAGTTTTGCGACAAGTACGCAGACGATGGCGTTCGCTTTGTGCAAGTGTTAAACCGCGGCTCGTTAATGGACAATAAATCACAATCAGAAGCGGTGCTTCGGTTTCTTACTGGAGTAATCTAGGCTATCAGTGTAACTCTAGACTTTAAATGTCAAATTTACAGTTGGAAAGATTCCAAAGGTTAAAGGCTGAGACCAGAACTAAGTCAAACTGGAACAGAACGCTAAGCTGGGAACGAGCGAGTAGCTTTTAGACATGATCCGCACGTATGCGCTGACTGAAGTTTTGTCTTTGGGTGATTTATTTTAAGTTATTCGCCAACTTTAAACAATGTGAAGATCTCACACGCAAGATGGGAGCATAAAGATGCAGAAAAGCAAGTTTCCGTGGCCTTCCCAACTGACACACAGAGGTTTTGAGCAGCCCATGCAGTGTGTGCTTACTGCTGCTTGGTCCTACCTTCTGGTGAGATAAAAGAAAAGTGAGAAAGGTGCTGCCTTTTGCAAGATAATTTTCACCTTTAATGTGCAGTGTGTAGCAAAGCAAAAAAAAACCAGCAGCTTGGAGCGCTCAATTTTAGCAGCTGCTTCAGACCCTTACCTGCTGTTCTGCAAAATAGGTCTTGACCAAGGAGCCCATGACCTGCTGGGGGGATTTGGTGGTGCTGATATAAGGAATGATGAAGCTGCCGTGGGTTTTCTCTGCATAGCAGATCCAACCTGAGAAAAGAGCGTAATTAAAAAGTGAAATGCAAAAATAATGAGCAGCCCTTCACTGTGCCTGCCCTCTGCCCGGCCCCAGCCTTAGGATCCATTCAGAAGCGTTTTCAGCCTTGCTTCAGCACAAAAAGCGAAGGAAGTGCAACATGAGATTAATTTGACATCACTCCTGCTATTACTTACCACCATGATCTCTTGATATCATGCAGAGAGTAATCCTCAAAGGAAATTTATCCATTTGAGCCTTTCTGGACTAGCTTTTTGATATTTTTGTTGTTTGTTCTAGTGTACTATCGATATGCCATTTCATTCTTTCTGTAACTGTTTTATGACCGTACCTGGACAGGCAGAAGCGAGCATCGGCAAAGCCTGTTTGTCTTCAGCTTGCCTTCGAAAGCGCGTTACGAACTCTCGTTGGCTCTCCAGCAGGCTGAAGTTTCTTGAGAAAGTTGTATCAAAAACGTAGTGCACACCTAGGCAGTGCAGGATATGTTTTAAAATTCACGACAAAGACACCGCAAACTACAAAAAAAAAAAGCCACCAGTCAAGCCAGATTCACACTGCTCGGCTCACTGACAGGTCGAGAGTGAATCTTTTATTCCCAGCACAGCGAAAGGAGCAAAAGAGACAGGAGGACGGCGGATTTAAAATTTCAAGTTCCTTCCTTCCAGCCCTCCGGGTTTATTACAGGACTGAAGGCGCAGATAGTTTGTGTTTTAGCTGATGCCAGTTACAAAGCATTTGGAGTCCACAGGGAGGTTAAACCGCAGCGACTTGCTGCACTTGTAACAATTATGCCTAACGAATCCCCCAGCAGCCCCCTCTGCCACACTTGCCTAAACCCTTGAAGAACGCGGTCAGCTTCTTCGCTGTTTCCAGAATGTCCATTTTACACCTCGCAGCCAGGGAAGCTCTGGATTGTGGCGAAACAGAAACCACCACCAATTTCTGTTCACTGGGAGCAGCAGTCTTTGGGGGAAAAAAACCAAACAACACTGTTCAGACAATACTAACAGCGCACACGTGGAACTTTTGGCTCGCGAGACCATCAGAAAGGATTTCCCAGCTTAACTCCGAAGTCGGTGACTTGTTATGTCAAAGGTCCTTTCCAAACCCACGATTACTTTTTAAAAATTGGAAAAACCCACAACAGTGCACTGAGAATGTCCCCAGATGCTTCAGATCTCAGGAACTGATTTTGACACGTGCACTTTCGACACGCGCTTGTGCAGACGCTAATGGATCCAGGCTTCCAAACTCCACCACCACTTTGTCACCCACCTTGTTAAAAGCCAGGATTTTGCAGAGCTCTTCGTGGCTCTGCTGAGTGATTAAGATGCTCTCCGCTGAGGTAATGCAGCCGCTACAGGCTAAACAGTCGTTCAGAGTAATTTTAGCCTTTTCCAGTTTTTGCGCCCCTCCATCCTGTAAAGAAAGAGCTTAGAGTCAGTTCTGGTCACACCTAGAATTAGGCAACAGTTTTCGCATCGTTACAATATTTGGGAACAAAAGCGTTGCCCTTTCAACGCTTTATCAGTAGAAATATATCTCTTTTATTTTTAGTAGGATGAACAGGAAGGCAAACATCTCTGAAGCGTGCTGCTTCGGTTGGGGTTATTTGGCACAGGGGTGCAAATACACTGAGGAACTTCAGGGAGGTTTTCTTAAGACCCAGAACTTCCATCAAACACAGAACAGTTCCTTGGGCCACAACTATTCGTGCGATCTGCTGGGCTAAGGTTGCTCCAAAACACTGAAATGACACCAGCCCACGAGCAAACGGGGTCTCTCTTCGCTGATGGCAAAACCGCAGAGCAGCAGTTCCAGTTGCCACTGGAAGGAATGATTTTTCATAATGTTTGACCTGAATAAGTTGGGTTTTCCCATGAGACTCTCCTCTGAAACGTCACTTCTCAATAAAGTCATCCGGAGCAATTAGGTGCTATTAAATTAAAATTTTAAAATAAGAAACCAGACTCCTCTGGAAGTGCTGTATCCCCCTTTTGTAAGTCAAAAGGTCATTATCTGCCTGAAGTTAAAAGTATCATCTCTAGGTGAATTCCCAGCTTGGATGACTAAGTTATAATTGGTTCTGGGTAAATGGGAAAAATCATGCAGCAAAACTCAGGATTAATTTTGGAAGCAGGAGGCTTATGAATTCTGCAGGCTATTTAACCAATAATTTGAAAATAAGAAAAGCCATTGTTGCAAACGATCTAGGAATTGCCAATACTTAAGTGCTGATGGCAAAACAGACTCCTCAGCTCATCACTAACGTCATCGTTTCAGAGCATAAAAGACTGATACAAAATCAGAAATTGTTGGACTTTGAAAAAAAGATAGGAGAACGCTGACAGCAACAGCAATATTTTTCTAACACCTTGGTCCTCTCTGAGGCATTAAATCGCTGTAAACTATTCAGACCTTAACAATATATTCCTGTTTTCTGCGTATTTTGCACAACAATGAAGCGAAACCTCACGTACCGGATTGATCTGAAAATAGCTTCCATCCGCTTCAATTCTGATCTTAGCTGCTGCATTTCCAGGCTTTTTTTCCACTTTCACAGGTTTGATACACTCCTGAAAGGTAAAGAAAGCCCCAAAGTAAGGACACAAGCAACGAAGATTTAACAGAAACAAGAACGATCAAACCCAAACCGCCTAGTTCTGGAGGGAACGCTGGATTCAGGCGACACTGGATTTACTTACAGCTTCTATAACCACCCAGGGAAAACGGAAAAGCAAGAACTTCTTACCCCTTTTCTGCAGAAGGAGCACTTTTCCAGCATCATACCAAAACCCGAGGACAACGGCGCTATTCTTTCTGAAGAACACAGCTACATTTTACGGAGCCTTGAAAGGAGACTTGCCCGCACAGCCCTCCCCTCTCAAAATCCTCCAAAGGATCGTGCATTTCTCGCTGCAAATTCGAACCGGTGGAGGCGTGGTCACTGCAGCCAACACACGCTCGTGCCAATTGAGTTTTATTTAATGTCACAAGGACTCTGACGACCTCAGACGGACAGCTTCCAGTTTTCTGTACTGCTCTACGCTGGAGTCTCAAGGGTGTTTTTGCATTTTTTTTTTTGTGATTTTTTGGGTTTTTTTTAGTTTTTTGTTTAGGCACATTATGACTCCTTGTCCTACTTCTACAGCCAGGATTCTCTTTGCTTTTTTTTCCATCCTTCCTCTGCCAACATCTTCAGGTCGTGTGTGTGTGTGTCCCCCAAATTAAATCAGCTTTACTACATTTTGTAGGATTCAGAGACTGGCAGGAACAACTCATTATGATTCCTCACTTACGCTCACGGAACAAAACAACGATCTCTACTTGAAACAGAAAGGTGGGTCACATTATTTATGTGAAAGACTTCGCTAGGAAACCCAAGCACTGCAAGGAGAGTTAAGGGATTTGCTATACCCCAGTCCACTGATCTCATTCCAGGACAGTTTTTCTGCTGTAGCTGACAGCAAATACATCCAGGATTACTATTTGTGCCTTAAGGCTCTGGAAAGAATAGTCTTGACCCGTTCTTGCTGCCCATTCCCACCTCCGCCACGCGCTCCTGAGCACCTGCACGGAGGAGCAGTGTGAAGCGAACTGGTTTAGGCTTAAGCTTTTTTTTTTTTGGTGGGAGAGGGTCTAGATTAACGTTTAACAGGGCAGTTTTCAGATACCGACTGGCCCAGCTCTCTCTTGGAGGGGCTGGCACAGATGATCAGCGTTGTTGCCCTCTCTACATCCCGCACGCTGGCTGGAAGCGATCAGCGAGGCACCTCCGTGCTTCTCCATAGAATCACAGCACCGTTTGGGTTGGAAGGGGCCTTAAAGACCATT